TTCCAGAACTTTTTTTTTTGGTCTCTGGAGAATTTAATTGCCGTGCAGGTCAATGGCCGAGGCCGCTGGCTTTGCCTCTTTGTTCGGTCAGCGCTTGCGTGTGTTTGCAGGAGGCTATTTATAGAATTGCGTCATCAGTGCGGCGAGGATGGTTCTCAGTGGCTTCTTTACCCAGTGACCTTGACCTGACGACACCATTTATTTGACATAGTTGTGTGTCATTCCGACCCACATCTCTGTATGGATGGTTGATTGTGTGTTGGGTTTGGGGGGAAAGGGGGGGGGTGTCTTTGATGGGTCCTACTTTTTTAAAATTTCTGTTTAGTTTTTTTGGTTTTTTTGCCTGCCCGAGCTTCGCCGCCGTTGCACGCTGAAGACATGAGTACAATTCCTCTCTGGGTAGAATTTGTATCGATTATCTACCTCTTTTTTTGCTGGGACTTTGTGTTATAAAGCCCAGATTGACCCTGGCAGTCAGCGTCGAAGCTCGCCTCCTAAATGATTTTATTTTAAATTGTGTCAGTGGGATTGTATTAACACGTGACATATAAAAAAGCAACAACATGATGTGAACAAAGATACCACTATTAGAGTTGCAACCTTCTTCTTTAACTAATGCCTTTTTTAAAATACAAATGCCAAGTATTGTGTGGTAGTTAACGTTTTGGGGATTTTTCAAAGCATCCCTCCCATCCTGATATTCACGTTAGACATGATATCTACACAAACGTTTGTTAATGTACTTGTTATCTATCATCTTAAAAAAAAAAAAAAAATTAAGGTAAAATCGAAGAATGGGGAGGTGGAGAGGGCGCTTGTTTAAAAAAACGTAATTAAAAACCTTTCTTTTTCGGGTCTCAAATCATATTCTGCTAGGTTTTTAAGAGTCTATGGTTTTCTCCGTCATTTTGATCTCGCTGCGCTAAGTGAGGTTTTTACAACCGTGGATTAGCGAGAAGTGTCAATCTTGTTACCTCATGGAGAGAGGGTGTACCTTAATTAAGTGCGATTTGCCGCGGGCCAGACTTGCGGATTGCAATAACTGTAAATAATATAAAGATCTTTTCGCTCGAGGCTTGAACACACTCACAGTCGTGTGGGTGGTAGTGGAGCACACTTTACTTAACACTTTAAAAAAAATACTTTAAAAAAATATTTTGTTTGTTGATCTTGCTTTTCCCCATCGCTAAGTTTACTGTGTGCTTGAACTGTTATAATACACAAGATGACGATGATGATGTGTGTGTGTGTGCGTGCGTGCGTGCGTGCGTGCGCGCGCGCGCGCGCGTGTGTGTGTGTGTGTGTGTGTGTGTGTGTGTGTTTGGGTGCAACTACTCCTAAGAAAACGGCTTTATAATTGTTTCTTTTATATATAATATTTTTGAGTGAAGTAAATAGAAGCATTTCTACGCAATATGACTGATAAATACAGACAAACCGTATTCCCACATAGGAATTTTTTTTAAACGAGACTGAAAAAAAATGACCGGAAGGGAGGACGGAAAAGGGGTTGGTTTGGGACGGGCGGGGAGAGGG